AATTAGAGGTCAAATAGCGGTTTGACCTTGAATGCCCTTGAGCCTCCGTACTTATGGTTCTGCAATCTGCCCTAGCGCATGGTTCAAGTCTGAGGTGTGTAGCATAAACCGTTCCTGAGTTATGCCTGCAAACCGTCGTAAAATGAAAAAAAACGCCCTTTATTTTGAAAAGTGGATGAAACATGAAGGGATAAGTGTTTGCATGGATTGCCTGCGAATGTTTTAACGAATATGTACATCGTTTATGGATTCGATCGTCCTAAGTTTGAAGGTATTTGTCTTTACGAGATGGAATTGGCAGTATATTAGGATGGAGATAAAAATCTTTTAAAAGAGAAATTTAAATCATATGTTACTAATACGATTCGATTAGTTTTGGATTAATTAATTAAGTCTGGTTTGACTTTTTATCGTAAAGATGTAAGTGGACTATATTTTTATATTGGTAATAATGGTACTAATCTATTATCTTTCTAACTTTCAGGAATATTTTTCTTTTCTTGCAAAATTCAAGCAAGGTCCAGCTATTGAAGCTGAAGCTGTTTTTTGGATAGTCCAAATCATCATGAAAAGACTGTACAACCATTGACAAATCCTGGTAGTTCAAATCTTAATCTAGATGATGGTCCAGTAGTTGCTGATAAGCAACATCAAACAACAACAAGAGATTGTGGGCTACAATGTACACTTCTAGAAGCACCTAAAGTAATCAATAAATTGGATTCAGAATCACAATGTGAGGTAGTTTTATCAAGGGATGTTCAACTTCAATGTTTTCTTTTGGTGCCAGCTAAAGATATACCTAAATTGGATTCTGGTACCCAATGCGATGTTGTGGCACAAAATTATTTCGAGGCACTTGATTTAAACGTCCAATCTGAGTCATCTTTAGTCGAAAAAATGGACGTTGAGCAACAGTGTTTTGATGAACTACAAATTCATGATATTCATTTTGAGTCTGACTCTGAATTTATTGAACCATGCTCAACTTCATATCAGGTATTTAGTTTTATATGCATTGTTTAAGTTTCTTATTTTAATTTCATTTTTTTGGTTATTTTCAATAGGTTACATCAACTACAGGCAATGATACTGTTAGTTCAGTAGCTGATCCCGTGGACGATACATGGAATTCTCTTGAATTCTATATTTCAGATGTGTCATATCACCATGTATACATACACAAGGGTGTCGAATTTAAATATATAATGGTTGAAAAAAGTACTCCAAGAGCCATATCGCTTCATGAAAAGAAACAAATCATTAATAAATATATTTAAATTGGTAAAAGTAAGAATCAGCAATAATTATATTTTATAGACAATATTTTAGTACATTGTAAGTAAGCTATGTTGATATCAAAACTTAAATCCACAATATTTACCTAGCTATTCTTTCATTTCTATCATAAATAGATGCGTAAAATGAAAAAAAACTGCCAGTATATTGATTGCTTCTCAATACAATTGTTGCCCAGTGATCTTCAAATTTCAGTTAGATGTCTCATGAGCCAGCGACCTTGAATGACCTTGAAATTTGATTCTTTTGTTTGTTTGATTCCATGCAAACATGGATACGCACTTAACAAAAACGCATGATATAGAGCAATATCAGACTCCTCGGCAATTCCCTTTCATGAAATTTAATCTACGAGTGCGAATAGCCATAACATTCCTTCAAAGTCAGAAAAATTCAAAAAGCTTTATACTTTCCACTCACTATATTATCAAAGATAATTATTTTTTCTTTCTCATGCAATGTTCATTAGTCTCTTGGATTGAATGTTAGTAAAGTTTGCAACGTAACAGAGCAAAGAGCAAAACTGTCGTTTTTTGCGTTTCGAGTCTGCATTAAGACAT